TTAGCCATACTCCAACAAGCAATACTATATAAAATGTAAGTGTATAACATTTTGAAATGATAAAGCTCTAAAAATAATGAACTAGATATTGTTGCTGATGGTTTCATGGTTTTTCTCTCATTCTAAGGCCTGATAATGACTGTAAGTAAACCATGTTACTTTGGAAACCTGCTGCTGGGGATCGTTGGAGTGGATGTTAATCTTGCATATATCTTGGAAGATGTCACCTATTATCAAGACTCCTTGGGTTCCTACACTTTCCTCATTGATAATAAAGGTAACTTTGACTCATATAATCTCTTCTAGCCTCTCTGAGGTCATTAACCATCAAAAGGAAACTCTTAATCTTCATGTCTCTAAGTAGTCTATAAGTAATGAATGATAATATTGATTAAAAGATTAATTGTGTGTTGTTTGGTTAGTTTTGCCTCAGAGTTGCTAGAGCCTGTAGGTGGATTTGTGACTTGAAATGTCTGCACTGTGGTTTTGATGTGGAAATATTTACTTGCTGTTGAGATTTTCTACATGTGTAACATCCAAGGTGTTCTAGATGTCAGGCAAAAGGCACAACTGGCATGTTTGTGTGTTCAGCTCTTTTCCTCTGATCCCAGCCTCCTTATTGCCTGGTTCTTTGACCTGTCTTTCATTTGCAACTCACCAAGTTCTTCATTTGCAGCTTCTTTGATGATAATATTGCTTGTTCACCTCCATTTGTTAAGTCTTAGCAAAAACTCTGTGATGACTGTATTCTTTTTTTTCTTTCCTCCTGTAAATATTCATCCTGGGCTCAGTTATTATAACACACTGAACGTCTGGGTTTGTGGCTTTATTTTTTAGGGTACACTCTTATGCACCCATCCCTTACCAGGCCCTACCTGCTGTCTGAACCACCTCTCCACACAGACATTATCCATTATGAGAACATTCCTAAATTCGAGCTGGTGCGCCAGAACATCCTGAGGTAAGGAACTGGGATGCAAGTGCAAACATGAGCAGTCCTTAAAGCACTAGAAGTGTTTCCAGAGGGGTTTTAAGAGAATATAAGGTAAAGTTCCTTACCCTACAGTATCTGGATACTTGGGTGGATTTTTCTCCCTCTGCCCCCAGATACAGAACCACTCTGGTTTGTGTTTTGCTTATGCTAAGCAGTGGTTTCCTCAGCTGATCTGGGGGATGCTTTTTTCTAATGTCTTTCTGTCAGGAAGATTTTCCACTACTTGGTCTGGGTTTTTCTTTAGCCTTTGTCTAACCTGAGTATGTGTTTTAACTCAAAATGTGCTGGTGCACAAGTGCATTTCCAGTGTGAAAACACTTTTCCTTCACCTGAGTCTGCTAACAGTTCATCTCTTCATATCTCAGGGTATTTATAAATGTACAGGAGATGGGTTTTTCCTGAGAGCTTTCTCAGTGTTCAATAAAATGCTGTATGTTATATCTGCCAATACAGCATCCCCCTGGGCAGCCAGATCATTACAGTTCCTGTGAACTCCTCGCTGTCCTGGCACGTAAACAAACTGAGGGAGGTGGGAAAAGAAGCCTACAACGTCAGCTATGCCTGGAAGATGGTAAGGACTTAAAAGTGATGCTTTTGCAGGGATGGCACAGCTGATAAAAACAGAGAAATTTTATATAGTGATGCAGTGAATGCAGTGGAGCATGAAGCATTGCTCTGTATTGAAGTAGGAAGGGTTTGGATCACTCAGAAGCTGCACGAGTGTGGTTTTTGTTACAGAGAAGAGACAATCAAATTGCTGCTTTAGGTTTGTAACCAGGTCATCTTCAGGGATGTGTTTGTACAGATATGTGTGTGCTCTTTTGTCATGCAGGCCCCTCATTTCATCAGACATATGTCATGCCTAGTTACATAGAGGTGGTACTCTTGCTTTCCCAATGGAAATAAATCTCTGCTGGTCTGGATGTCACTCTGCAAGGCAGGTGACACAGAAATACCTCCCAGAGCCCACACAGTGCTGAGGCACCCTTTAGGACTGAGTCCTTCTTTTGCTTAATACTGTTGTTTGGGGCAGAGTAGTGCAATCCATTAATTAATACAGTTAGGAAAATGTCAGCTTCTCCTTCTGACACTATCATGTTGCAGGACTGTATCAGTAGCTAGTGATGATGTTTGCTGTAATTTAACACTGAGAAACATGAGTTATGTCAAAGCTTTTACTGAAACCAAGTATGATGTGTATGCAACAGGCTGTTATTACCAGTTCTAAGAGCTTTATAAGAGAGCTTCCAGCAGCTGTCTTTCCTTTCTTCAGCTTAGAATGTATCTGAACAATAATCTTGACCTGAGGATTTAAAATGGAATGGAAGGTTAAATATAATCCAGGTGAATTTTGCTGATGCCAGAAATAATTGGCTACTTCTTTCTGCCAACAAACTCAAGAGGGTACTTGTGAATCATTTCACAATACTGAGTTAAATCCAACCTAAAGGTGAAGCTGAGCAGTTTTAAGAGGTTAAAACTGTCATTGTGTGACAAGAGGGTGTCTGGAGCTCATCTTCTAATGTTACATTCAATATCAAAACACCCTTGCAGAGCAGCTGGGCAACTCCCAAGTTTTCCTACTTTGGTATACTATGGGATACTTAAAATACACAAACCAGTAAAGCATGTGACACATGCAGCACACAATTAAGAGTGGTAATGATAAAGTCTTACTTTTGAGAGTTAATTTGTCTGTATCCTTCATAAAAGGAGTGAATACCAGTCTATTTTTATCAGCTGTGAACCTGAAGCTTCTCTGTTGATGGCACTTCAGAAAGTATCCACAAACCAGTGTTAGAAATTACTGCTAATTGACCAACAAAAGGAAGGTCTTAATGTAATCTTTTTTTTTTCCTGAAAACTACTTGTCTTTTGTTCATAGATTATGACAAAGTAATTTTTGTACAGCTTAGTGGCTCTGATTTATAAGATGATGACAGACTAGCATGTGCCTGGATGGGGCTGAGTTGCTGAAGACAATTGTCTCTATCCTGCACAGGGACCAGAATGGCTTGAGCACAGTCCTTGTCTCTGTTTCCTGCAGGATCAAGTCCAGTTAGCTTCTTTGAAAAGGACTTGTTTGGTTTCAGAGAGGGTGGAAACTGTGATCCTTGAGAGGATGGCCATGCATGGTGCTGCCTTCCAGAACTGGAGGAGAGGAGGGCTTGAGGAGAAGAGGATGAATGCCAAATGGAAAATAAGTTCTGTAACTCCTCCATCTTTTTCTTGTTTGACTTGCCCATGTTTTTCAGGTCCAGGACACGTCCTTTATTCTGTGTGTCGTGGTAATACAGCCAGAAATCCCTGTTAAACAGCTGAAGAATCTCAACATTGTCCCCAGCAGCAAGCTCCTGTACCATCGACTGGATCTGCTGGGCCAGCCCAATGCCTGCCTGCACTTCAAGCAGCTGGCTACCTTAGGTAAGGCTTTCTTGCAGTTCATCTTGACCACCACGTGCATGTGGCTGTAGAGTGTGGCAGCCCAAAGTAAAGCTCTTCTCACAAACCACTGGAAATACTCTGCTCTGGAGAGGCTTTTATTTCCACGGCTGATTTTTCTAATCAGCTCTTACCTTCAGCTCTGCATTGATGGTGGCCACCCTGCTCAATAGCAAGCACTCACATGGGTGGGTGCAATGGGGCTGCTCATCAGAGCATGGGATAAATGCACCATGAGTCTTGCTCACTCAAGCTCCCAGCAGGTGGAGTGGGGAGAGTGAGACGTGTCCCACCAAGCTTAAAATTTAAGTTCTCTTGACTGTAAAGCAGCTTATTGACAAACAGCCTAAGTAGGGTGAAGTCTCAGCCAGTCACTCAGGAATACTATGCCTTTGACTTTGGATTTATGCAAGTTTTTCCCTGCCATAAGCATTTAATACCATTGAGCCATGTGAAGTCAGAAGTTAAATCTGTTGGGGGAAGCTGAGAACCTCAGTGGTGTGATGGTTTCCAGATCCTCCTTACCTGCTTGAAAGCTCCTGAGTTATTGACACATCCCTGCTTTTGATGAGCTAAATGGCTTCTGCTCTACCTGACTCATTTCAGTAGCTGCTCAAATGCTACTGGAAAGAGGGAGAGTCTCCATGACAGTGTAAGTTCTAATGTCTGGAAAAGATACGAAACTTTAAAAACATCACATATTAGAATCATAGAATCCTTTAGGTTGGAAGAGACCTTTAAGATCATCAAGTTCAACCATCAAGCCAACACTACTAAATCCTCTGCTAAAACAGAATCAGAATCTGTCAGGGTTGGAAGGGACCACAACTTGCAAGCTTTCTAAGTATTAATCTGTAGGGTCTTTCTAAAATCTCTGCTATATTATAAGAAGTTCTGAGTTACATGCTTTTGTTTTGATCTAAAGGTCTCAGGGTGGATTTAGAGGCACAGTTGTGATATTTTCTTTGCTGTATTGCAGTTCCACAAATAGCTAAGTGAGATTAGACTGGAGAGTTACAGGGGAACTTGACAAACTTATGGAGATTCCCTTGCTGATTGTTTGAAGTGCAGGGGTTTTCCTTTCTTTCATGTGGTGCCTAGTCTTGATTATCTTCTGTCCAGAAAGACAAGATAGAAATGGAAAACAGAAAAAAAAATAATTCAGTACTGAGCTGACAAGTGGAAAAACTTCATGCCAAGCAAAATGCAATCACATTAGAATATTTGGTCTGGGAAGCAGATGAGGGGCTGTAGTAGAAGTTCAGGAGTGATGACCATGGTACATATGGTTGCTAGATGTATGGGGTTGTGTTTTAGAGGAATGTGAATAAAAGCAGAATGCTTCACGTACTCCAGGGAATTTTTCCCTCTGGAGACCATTACACAGGGGGAAATTGGGTCCCATGGGTCAAATACTCAGCTCAGGTTCTTCTCAACCTTCAGCCCTGCATCGTTGTCATCATTTTTCTTTCTAAAAAGAAAAAGCTGTCTGGTACTGCAGTTTCTGCACAATGAAAGTTTGCTTTCTAGTCTGTTCTGAAAACCAACCCAGACAGCTACACGTTTATTGGTAAGCTCCTCCTTGTCATTCTCCATTTAGTCATTTTCTGTAGCTGGAAGTGCTCACCTCTGTTTTTCTCTCACACGTCCAACCTAAAGGTGGATAATTCATTTCTTTAGCACAAGATCTGTTCCTAAGGGCAAACAGCTTTTGTAATCTTTGAAAAAGTAATAATTCAGAAAGCATTTAGACTTTGAGAACAAGGACACTAACATCTACCAAATAACACGTGGAGATCAGGGTAAGAGGTCACATTTTTTGCCTTCACAGTCCACCCGTGGCCTGAAGGAGCTGTGAGCTTTGGGTGCCAAAGTGCGGGGGAGCGGAGGGAGCGGGCAGAGGACATTCCTTGTGTGGTGGGAAGGGGTATACCATGCCATAAGTGCAGGTCATCACCCTTCCCTGTCTCCTGTTTTGCTGGTTTTAGAAAGCCCGACGGTGATGCTGTCGGCGGGCAGCTTCTCGTCTCCTTACGAGCACCTCAGCCAGGCGGAGACGAAGCGGATGGTGGAGCACTACACGGCCTACCTGAGCGACAACACGCGCCTCATCGCCAACCCGGGCCTCAAGGTGTGTCCTGCCAGCCCTGGCCAGCCCTGGGCACCCGGCGCTCCTCACAGCCACCCCCTCCCTTAGGCTAGGCCTAAGGGAGAAGCTTGCTACGCTAAGGCTGCTGAGCCCCTGGCCCAAGTTGCCCAGAGAGGTGGTCGCTGCCCCATCCCTGGCACCATCCCAGGGGAGGTTGGCCGGGGCTCTGAGCACCCTGCTCTAGCTGCAGATGTCCCTGCTCCCTGCAGGGGGTTGCACTAGATGCCCTTTAAAGGTCCCTTCCCACCCAACCGAGTCTGTGCTTCTCTGCTTGTGTGATTCATCCAGGAGGGGAGCATCTGAGCCACTGATCTCCTGATGTCCACAGGTTTATGGAGGAGTGGTCTTCCCATGTCTGGAGAGATGGCCATGGGCTTCAAAGCTCAGAAAAGTGGAGAGAGGAGGAGGGGAGGGGGGGAGAAGTTCATCAGCAGCTAGTGAAATAAGCGCTAGAAAAATTAAAGCTACAATAAATTCTTATCGGAAATATCTTTGTGTTCTCAGGCATATAAATGAGACATTTTTGTGTGCAAGCAGAGCAGTATTTATGTTTTCACAAAGGAGAAAGGAAACTCTTAAAGCTGCAGAGATAACGACAACAATATTTCATTATAATAAGCTTTTCCTTTGCATGGAATGTGCCAGACTCGTCTGGTGTGAGAAGACTTTAAACAAGTAATTGAGTTTAGATGATCTCCGATTGCTCTTTAGGAAACCCCGCGAGCAGCTTATTATCTTCTCATGCAAGTCTTAGAGGAACCCTGCCAGCTCTGCCTTTGTTTTGCAGTTCTCTGTCAGGAATGAAGTAATGGCTACCAGTCACGTCACAGATGAATGGATGACACAAATGGAAATGAGCAGCCTGAACAGCTCCATTGTGCGCCGTTACATAGCAACCCCCAATGGGGTGCTCCGAATTTACCCCGGCTCCCTCATGGACAAAGCATTTGATCCCACCAGGAGACAATGGTGAGTTTTTAGGGTCCTCGTATCAAAGCTTTGGATAATCTTGGAGGGCAATAAGGGGAATATTTGGTATCGATTTCGTAGCCTGGGGGTTTTTTGATGGGTAGCTATAAGCTGTTCAGCTAGAAATGTTTTCATCGCGGGTGAAAGGCTCGGTGCTGACATACAGCTAGTTAAAACCTCTCTTAGTCCTAATTCCATCCCTTTTTCTTTTAAGTGATAGTTTGTTCCATATCCCTGCTATGGCAGATGGGGGTATAAATATTCAGAAAATGAGCACCCCCTTTAGGGATTAGCTCGTTCGGAAGTTTTCAGCTCCTTGTGCTGTTTTTGCTTGTGAATATTTTAGTCTTTTTGTTTGTGCGTTTACAGCGGGTGTCCTCCCTAATTTAAAGCAGGAATTTGCTGGCTCGACTGCACGCTATTAATTATGCACTGTTGTCTGGCTTGGGAAGGTATTTGCATCCATGACAAATGAGGGCCTGCGAGGTGGGAGCACTCCAGAGTGAGTTTTGACGTGTGCGTGTGCCACGAGCCAGCGCCACATCCCGGCCCTCCAGCTGCACCCAAAAGGCTTTGGAGTTGCTCCTGGCCGTGCCAAAGCTCTCCTGACCCATGTTTCCCCTGAAAATACCCATTACCATAGCTACTGATAAGCTTTAATTCAGGTTTTCTTCCTTTTAGTTGTTATTTGTGTTTTTCTGACAGATCAGATGATGGAAGTTCGCTCTCTGTTTTGTAATGAGAGAAACCTATAAATGAACTGAGTGCACTTTTACAATCCATCAGCTCCATTTTAAAAGCTCTCCAATTATTTTCATTATTGGTTTTGGGAAGGTTTTGGGTTATTTTTTTCTTTTAGCTCTCACCCTTTAGTGATTCTCTCAAACCATAGTTGTGAAGAAGCCTCCACATGCAGCATGCTCACAGTGTCTTGGTTTTTATCTAAAACCAAACAAGAGTGTTTTGGAAAGAAGTTGCAAGCAAAGCACTAGTAAAAAAGTAGAATTCAAACCCTTGCACAATGTGGTCCAGACTCATAGGTTACTGCACTGGCGTGGGGGAGAGCAGAGTAGTAGATTTTTCATACACAAATATGTTTCCAGTGATAGGAATGTTTTATAAACTTTCCTACAGCATGTAAGCATTGACATGATTGTGACTCATTTTATGCTGACAGGAAGTTTTAAAAGAGATTGTAATTTTTTATACCTTTCTGACATATTTCTGAATGTTGTTTTATGAATTCTGTCTATAGGATGTCATTTCTCCTCTGTAATGTAATAATTTTGCCACTCTTTGCTTTGAGTTGGAGACTCAGCTGGCACTAAGTCATCCATAATTCTGGGGAATAATGTCTGCAGTGACATTAAACATGTTCTGTGCAGAACTGAGCTTTTTTTAATGCAGTTCTGTATGCTGAGGAACCATTTATTGAGCAAGCCTGCCTTAGGTCGGGGTCCTAATCATGCTTGGGTACTTGTTTAATATTAAGAAACATCAATTGTGTGGCAGATTGTTCACAGTGTGCAGAACTCACATATTTGTCTGTGTTTCTGCCAAATCAAGGATCCTGTCTTGAAGTTCACAATACCTTTTTTGACTAATTATGAGCATTTCTTCTGGCTGCCCTTAGGTACCTGCATGCAGTGGCTAATCCAGGACTAATTACCTTTACTGGTCCCTACTTGGATGTGGGAGGGGCTGGCTACGTCGTTACCATCAGTCACACTGTCCATTCTTCCAGGTAATTGGTGTTTGGGGCTCTGTGTCAAGCAAGAACACTCTCAGTTATGAAGTTGTGCTTTGGGTAAGGAGAGAACTGTGCTGAGTGACTCCTGCATGTTCAAGAAACAAAAACCAAACCTGGTTTTCAAGTGCTTATGGTAAAATGTAATACAACCTTCTGTAGATTCAGTGGAAATAGTGTACTGAAACACTGTGCACAGTCTGTCTCACATGACTAGGTTTGTATTCTGGAGCTTTATTGATGTGTTAACAACAACAACATATAGAAAAAAAAAGATTTATCAGTGAGAATGTCCTCCAGGATGAACATGAGTTGTCATGTATGGAAGACAAGGACTTAGGATGAGGAGAGGGATCACTTCCACTGGGCAGCTGGGGATGTGTCCCTCTCTGCTGGTAGTAAAATACTTTTTCATCAAGACTGCTAATCTCTGAATTTCCTGAAGTGACTCACACCTTCACTGCTGAAGGTGTATGTACCAGGGTGATGTTTGGAAGGGAGTAAGAAGTGAAAGCAGATCTGCCTAACTGCAAGTAGAGGTCAGTCCACAAGACACTTTTAATTAAAGCTCTGTCTGTACTCCAGAAGTTAGGGGAGCTCCTCACCTGGGCTGTTTAAGTTTGGCACTTCTGGGCAGGGGCTTTCAGGAATAAGAACTTGAGGAGAAGCCTGTAAACCTTCAACAGGATTGCAGAAAACAAATCAGAGTTGAGACAGCAGCCCATGCCTTTGGGATCAAAACCAAACTGAACATTATAGCCACAGAGGAGGAAGCATTTTCTTTATTAATGAGTCTTATATGGCTTAAAAAAAGGAAAGGGGAAATTTTAATCCATCTTGAAAGTTGATCAAGATGTCAGTGACAGGACAAGAGGCAACTGTTTTAAACTAAAAGAGGGAGATTTAGACCAGAGGGAAGGAAGAAATTTGTTACACTGAGGGTGCTGAGCCCCTGGCTGAAGTTGCCCAGAGAGTCTTGATCAATGCCCCATCCCTGGAACCATCCCAGGTGAGGTTGGCCTGGCCTCTGAGCAACCTGCTCTGGTTGGGGATGTCCCTGCTGACTCCAGGGGTTTGGACTAGGTGGGCTTTAGAAGTCCCTTCCCACCCAAACCAGTCCATGATTCTGTTCCAGGTTTCTGTACATCACACCAGGAGAGCTGGAGTCAGTCTCTCTGAGAACATCTCAGTAATGGAATGGCCCTTTCTTCAAGAACCAGACTCTTTGTTTCAGCTCCCTCTGGCCAGGCCCCCAGCCTAGGGCTGAGATTTGGTTTCAGATGAGGCTGTTTAAAGGAGAGATCAGTTGATAGAACATGTGCTGAACCTTTCCAGCACAGGCTCTCCCAAGAGATGGCAAACAGTAGTTACTTGTTTTGGTTTTTCACACGGAGTCTCTTCCAAGACTTCCAGTGAGCATGTGACTTCTGTGCACACTCTATCAGTGCAAAGGTAGCTTCTAACATTGCACTGGTAAATACAGCTCACAAAGCCAGAAGAGCCCAGGGTGCTGCTTCTCTGCTCTCCTCAGAGACACCTCAGCTTTGTCTGAGGTCTCCCACCACAGGACATCTGCCTGTCTTTTTAGCCAGGAGTATTCTTAGGCCTGACGCCTGTGTGGTGCTTGTCACAGAGGAATTTACTTCAGGGAAATAAGCACTTCTGTAAGAAGAGAGGTGCAATTAATCACAGTTCTGATTTTTATCTAGCAAGTGATGCTTCAGTTAGCTTTAAGAACTTAAAAGCTCACGTGGGTTATTAGAACATGATTAAAGAACAGTTAAACAAAGTTTGGCAGTTGTGAATGTGATTCCTGGGTACATATGACCTCTAGAGCTTATAGTCCTATGCAGGGATAATCCCCAAAGAGGTCTTAGTTAAACTAAAACAGAGGGGTGGGGGAGGAACTGGTAGAGTTCAGAGGCAGGCTTCCAGCAGAAACTGCTGTGTGGGTTTAAATAACATCATTGCTTTATCTGGAACTGGGGCTTCTCTCTCATTCCCATTTTCTGTATATCTGATTTCTTCTTTGGAGGCTGGAATAGAAGATTGATGCAAGAAGTTATTTAATAGCTCTTGCACCAGCAAACCAGAAGGATTTAAAGCTTAAAAATGAAGCTAAAGTATTTACAGCATTCCTGGTGGCTTTTTGTCTGTTAGGACAGAGCAATAACTTCTTCACTTGACACCTTGTCACACACAGTTAAATGTATCTGTGCTGCTTCACTGTCTTCTTTTTTCCCTTTTCTTCTCTGTGAAAGGAGTAACAAACTAAATGAAGTTTTTTAGGATCAATATTTATAAATCTACTAATTAGATTTGACTACACCTTCACTGTGCATCTTTAAAAGCAACCAACCTTTTCAGTCCCATAAACAGAGTTGGGTTTGCATGGATCAGAGGCTGCCAACAGCCTCCACTTTGTATAGTCCAGCTGTGGCCTTCAGGTTCCTCTTTTTCTGAACTTTCTTTACTGTCTTCAGAGATAAAATTATTTAGAAAAGCAGTTTTTAAAAGCCAGTAAGTCAAAGGTGTCTCCTTTGTCATCAGTATAAGGCCATGTAGGTGCAAACCAGCATGCCCTGTGCCTTGAGGGTGAGCTGCTCAGTCTGGGTCCTTCAGGGGTGGGATGTGACTTGCTCTGGCCGTGCCACTTCAGTGCTGCAGGGAGCAAAACTGGAGAGTTTGGGGGTTACAAATGTATCGGGGACAGAGATTTTTCAGTAGCTTGAGGCTACCACAGATCACCACGTAATATAATCATTATCATAACCTGTCATAATAAATATTAGTTATTTTCTTCTCTTATTATATTAGAAGGTTCCAGAACCTCACTGCTCTGGTGCCCAGTGGGGATTTGTGCCTTAGGTCACGTGCATTGATTCAGGAGGTCTTGAGTATCTGGATTTTCTCCTGAGGGGAAGGTGGGAATTTGTCAGGACAGGGAGTTTTAGGACAATAAGAACATGACTAGAATATAGTTTCTGTTTGGAGCTTTCACCATCCAAATGGTCTTACCCAAATGTCAAGACTCTGCTTCTGCCAGGAGAGCTCCTCCTGAGTGGTGGTGAGGAAAGATCTGGAGTACTCTGTCCAGTGCTGGGCTCATTAAACAAGAACTACTGAACAATAAAGAACGACTGGAGAGAGTCCAGCAGAGGCTGTGGAGATGCTGAGGGGCTGGAGCATCTCTGTGCCAGGCCAGGCTGAGAGCCCTGGGGCTGCTGAGCTGGAGAAGAGAAGCCTCAGAGGGGATCTGAGCAGTGCTGAGCAAGAGCTAAAGGGCCCCCGGGGGGCAAGAGGCTGGGGCCAGACTCTGGTCAGTGGTGCCCAGGGACAGGACAAGGGGCAACGGGCACCAACTGGAACCCAGGAGGTGCCACCTGAGCAGGAGGAGAAACTTCTTTGGGGTGAGGGTGGCCGAGCCTGGAGCAGCTGCCCAGAGAGGCTGGGGAG